TGTTATTTCTGAGGTCTGTGTTGAAGGTCAGATGGTTGTAGATGTGTGGTGTTATTTCTGAGGGCTGTGTTGAAGGTCAGATGGTTACAGATGTGTGGTGTTATTTCTGAGGTCTGTGTTGAAGGTCAGATGGTTGTAGATGTGTGGTGTTATTTCTGAGATCTGTGTTGAAGGTCAGATGGTTACAGATGTGAGGTGTTATTTCTGAGATCTGCATTGAAGGTCAGATGGTTACAGGTGTGTGGTGTTATTTCTGAGGTCTGTGTTGAAGATCAGATGGCTGTAGATGTGTGGTGTTATTTCTGAGGGCCGCATTCTGTTCCATTGTTCTATATGTTTGTTTTGGTTCCAGTACCTAGACTTTCATAATGATAGTTTTTTATCTCTCACATGAGGCAGAAGTATGTTGGGTCTCTCGACCTCTAACCTGTTCCCCGGAGAGCTCTTTCCTCTGGCCCTAGTTTTTCCTTCATGTGCACCCGTGTGTACACAGGCACACATGCTGCATACATGTACATGGCACTCCTGGGCCCATACCGCTCACGGGCACAGGCACATATATGTATCTCCATTCCTAGCTGTGTAGATAAGCACCCAGGTTCTGGGTTTTCAGGATAGTCGGTAACCAAAATTCATTTTCCCCTCCTATTGTTCTCAGAACCTTTTGATATGTAGACGTAGGTATCAGGCAGAGATAAACATGTCTAATCTGCAACCGACAGGAAGATGTGACATCAGTTTACGGGGACAGTGGGCTTTCAACATTTCACCTTAGAATTAGCTTTTCCACCACAAGCACAGGAAGAGCTAGAGGTCTTCCAGCCAGCCAGCTGGGCATGCTCGCTTGCTCTCTGTGGGCACCTGACACCAGAGAGAAAGTGGCTGAGTGGAGCCTGCCTGTCCCGCTTCCAAACACTCCAGTCAGATGACTGAGGAACAGGAATGCTGAGAGGTGCTGCGTGTTACTCCGGTAGTATCCCCCCACATGGAGCCAGGAGCAGTGGGAAACGAAAGTCCCTCTCAACCCCAGACACACACGTAAGTACACACGGACACACACACACACATGGATCAATTCTCGCACCAGGGTGTGGATGCTGAGGAGTCGGATCTCAGGAGCCAAGCAACCAGAAAACCAGGGAGAAGGATGGCTGAAGGCCAAGCAAGAAAGGGAGACGGCTCGGAGGATGGGGTCTGGGGAGCTGAGGGGCTGTGGCAGGGCTGTGGCCTGCATCTGGGGTTGACTCTTCAGGCTGACCGTGAAGCCTGGAGTGGAACAGCAGGTGATGAACAGGACCGTAAAGGGAAACGTGGAGTGGAAAACTTAAGGGAAAATGGGGAGAGGCTGAGAAGAGCATTGAGGTGCTACTGAAAGTATATTTAAGAAACATGGAATTATTTTATGTCCCTCGTGGTCCAAAAAAATGTGCAGCGGCCAAGATTTGTACGTGAATAGGTATTACACCGTAGGGAGTGTGTGGCTGTGGGTACAGAGCGGTGGTATAGCAACATGACGCCAGATTTCTGCATACAAAAGATTGTAAGGGATAGCATTCCAAATGCATTAGAATGGCTCTGACCACCAGTCATAGCTTGAAGTAGGGTGCACAGCTCCAAGGTTGATCATGGGATGAAATTAGAACCTCCTCTACCCTCAATTCTTCTAAATGAAGACAATCGCCCTGGTCCAGAGCCTTGGGGGTTTAAAAAGCCCTGGGATTGAAGACTTTTTTTCATGATTTGCCTGGGCATTTTGTTTTTAGTTTGAACTGGCCCTAAGCATCTGACTCTTTGGAACGCGGCAGTAGATCGAAATAGCTTATTATAATAGCGAACATACACTGAGCATCCGCTGTGGGCCAGGCACTGTCTGCAGTGCTTGGATGTCCCAACTCACCGAATCCTCACAGCAACCCTGAGTATGCACTTTTGATAGCTGTGTGTTATTGATGATGAAAGAGACTCTGAGAGGCTGAACGACTTGCTCAAAGGCACACAGCCAGCAGACAGCAGAGCTGGAACGCAAACGCAGGCCGCCTGACTGCAGAAGCTACCCTCTGCAGCATAAATGGAGCGGAAAGGAGGATGGAAGCTCACTTGGCCCAACCTGGAGCTTTTCCATGTGAGAGGAGCAGAACTGTGTGTATCAAGCTAGTTCTGAACTCAAATTCTACAGTTGGGTTCTTCACTGAGCTGGACCTGCAGGGAGACCTCACTGCCTTACCCAAGCAGGCCAAGCGTGGTTTCCTACTGCCAGACCACAAGGTAGAACGTCCAGGCGAAGGCAAGACCGTTGTGCTTCTGATCATCCTCAGAATGTGTGTGGAGCGCTCCACGGATTTCTAGGTGGATGTACAATTACTTGCTCGTCTCTGATGACACAGGGTGAAGACTGAGGCTAGGGAGGACCTGATGCAGAACTCCAAGAGCTCAGCACTGTCAGGCAGTTCATTTAGTCATTCCCTGAGTATTTATTGAACTCCTACTCACGCCCATGTGTCCTTTCTTTTCTTGTTGTTACTCTGTGCAGACACCCACTACCAGGTTCCTGGAAGTCCCTGCCTCTGTGGGCTCAGGCACCTCCACGGCAGCTCCTCCACCTTCCTTTCCTGTACCCAGCAGCCTGGACAGGAGGGGCCCTCACTGACACATGGGCTGTCTTTGTTCAACAATGCTTGGGAGCACAAGTGAGTTCTGTATTACTGCCCTTTTGGCAGGGGCGGCTGGAGTGCCTGGAAGAGACTAGTTCCAGGCCTGCTGGGCCACGGGGACCCACCCCAAGCACCAGCCATCAGCTTTGTCCCTCCAACCTCTGGAGAAAACCTTTGATTTCATGGGGATGATTATTTTTATTCTTGCCCACTCAAGGATGAAGCCCAAGAAATAAGAGGTTGAGCCTTTCAGAAGCATCACAATGGGTTACCTCCAGCCAAACCCACTGGTTTTTTGTTATTTTTAGGTTTGGTTGGGCCTCTCTTGGAAACCATTACTATACAACTTACTTAAAGAAAGTGGAGGGATTGGGCATAGGAGACCCAGACAGAGGGAGACAGGAGTGGGGGCTAGAGCTGGGAGGCTGGAGGTCATGTGTTGTCAGAGACGGTGCAGGAAGAACATATTAAAGCCACAATCTGGTTTGAGTCCATTCAATTTTGTAGTGACATTTTTAATCTTTTGCAAAGTCGAAGTATTCCAAGTCTGACTTTTAGCCAATCCTGGAGAATTGGAACTTTGGGTGAAGGTTTCAGAAAAAGACACAAAACATACACGCGTACACACACACACACACACACACACACACACAGCCTGGTGGGGAGAGAGAGAGAGAAAGGGGGAAAGAGAGAAAGGGGAGGGAGACTTTTATCCTAAAGTCATTGTAAATCCAAAGCAGGGTTTATCCTCCACAGTTAAATGAGAAAGAAAAAAAAAAAATCAAGAATACCAACATTTGAGGTACAAAGACTGTCATGGACCAGTGGAAGTTTGCAAAATTATATGTAAATGACCGCAGTTTTTACTGTGGTGGCCCTGTGCATTCCCAAAGCTAATCCCAAAGAGAAAATCTACTTAGCAAAAGAAAGTTTTGTCTAATTTGGTTAACAGTTGAGAAGTGACAAAATGTTGAATATATTAATAATTTATATTTCCAGGGTAACACTATATCTTTAATGCTTCACTGCCGAAGGGAATTCAGATTGGCTTAGTGCTCACAGAAAAACACTCTGAAAGGCCTTCTTCATATTCTGTATGCAGCGCTGATGAAAATGGGTGTAAGACATGTGTTCCAATAATAGGCACCATCCATTTTCCCCATTTCTGCATAATTTGTTTTTATCCCATATTGCTCAATGTATATTCGTTACCCGGGAGGGCCGCCTGGTCTCACTCACTTCCGTGCTCCGGCTCTACCGCTTGACAGAAAGGAGAGAGCTCACATTTTATAGATATTTCAAGAACCTCTGACGTGCAAGACCTTTTCTAAAGTTTATAGATTTTTCTTGGCAAAACATCTACGTGGAAGTTTCACTTGATGGGCAACATAACGAGGGCTTTTTTTTTTTTTTTTTGCCTGTTTGTGCATAATGAAGTTCGATGGTTTACAAACCGCAGGTCATCCCATCCCATGACCTCAGCAAACAGTCTAGGTCAGAGTTTTCTTAAACCCTGTCCAGAGAAATAGAATAAGTTAATTTACAGTCCTCTAGCGGATGTGAGAGAAGGCAAATCACCACAGTTTAGATAAATGGCCTCTGGAAACAGAAAAACGTGCCACCTAATTTCAAATTATTTATTTAAAAGGCATTAAAGTTTATGGGGGAACAAAAGTTCAAAGACAAAATTTAAATACCCACAAACACAAATTTAGCCAGTTGGATACCTTGTTTATTTTACCTACTTACATAAAACAACCGGGAGCCCAAATTTGCCCTTTCAGTCTCAGAGAAACAGGATTTTAGCTTGCCGTTCTAGATGTACCGATGTATCGCTATTTTGTGGGTAAGGCACAAATGCACTGAAACCGAAAATCCCAGTCCCCTGAAAGACCACTGGCCAAGTCTCTCCTGGATTCCAAACTTTCCTCAGCACGTTCTGGATGGAGCGAGATGGAAAAAAAAAAAGAAAAAAAATCCCACCAGGGAAAGGATAAGGAGGCCTTTTCTCTCCAGGCCCGAGAACTTAAACGGAGAGCCCAGGGTTCCATTCTGCACCAGTGGGCCAATGGTGGAGGATGGCGGGGAGGGAACCATCCCTGGAGGGGTGGCGAAGGGGCGTCTCCCAGCGGCCCCGAAGCTGGCCCGATCTGTGCGCGCAAGGCAACGCCAGCTTCTTGGAAGTCTCCGGCACTGAGGAGTTGTCATCTGACATGGTTTCTAAGCCGCAACTCAGAACTGTACTTGGTTCCCGTATATTTTAGAGGTCTGTTTAGACTGTAACCTCAGCCACGCACCCGGCTGGTCTGGGTTTCGCCCACTCCAGACCCGCGGGCGCGTGGCGCGGGTGCGTGGGGTAGGAAGTGCCTCTGGGCAGGAAGTGCGCGCAGGTCGCAGCTGCAACAATCCGCCTAAGCCACTTTGGGGCAGGTCTTTCAAACTGCATTTTCCTGAGAGCCAAGGGCAGCGCTCTTCGCTTCCCCTTTCTCCGATGCTAATGCTCAAGATGCGCACGGGGCAGGCCCAGGGAGCCACGAATCCCGCCTTTAAGCGATGCCTGGTATATCTGCCTGAACCTCCACTGAAGGTCCCCCTCCCTCAGACTCCGCAGCGGGCCCCTCACCAAATTACTGAGGGCTGTTACCCTGATCCCTGTCAGCGATGCGCCCTTGGCACCGCGGAGGGGATGGGTTGCGGATGAGCAGAAGGTCATAAATAAATCCCTCTCTTTGGGTCTTTATCAGAAAACGTTTATTACCGGAGGAGATCCTTCAGAAGACTCATTCGCTCTTTGCCTCCCCCCACCCAGTTTTTTGGGGGCACAATATTTAAACAATATTTGTACAATATATACGGCATTTCTCCTAAGCGGCACCCAAAGCGCAGAGAAATCCGGCGGGCGAGTGGGCGTCAGAGCACCGGGGGGTGCTGGGGCGTGTGCAGGTTAAGGGCATTGGGGTGCGCGTGGCCGATCCGGTTGAGGTAATGCCGGTCCAGACACTGCACCGGCGTCAGGAACGGGCTGTGCTGAGGCGCTGGGCTGGAGAGCGGCACCGCCGCGCTGGGCAGGTAGGGGAGCCCGGGACTGCGGGCTGCGCCTGGTGGCCAGGGGAACGGCCCGGGACCAGAGCCCTGCGGGAACACAGCAGCCTCCCCGGGGCTGTGGCCCGCGAACTCGGGCCCCGCAGGGTGCAGCTGATAGGAGAAATCCGGCTCTGGGAGTGAACCCAGCGGCGGAAAGGCAGGCTCCGCGCCCAGGCGGGCCTTGGACTGCAAGAAGGCGAGGATGCGCGCGTACTTGGTGTCCTTGGTCTCCATCCGCTCCACCGTGGTGAGGTAATGCACCAGGTTCTTCATGCACTCGTGGTAGCCATAGTGGAAGTAGTTGGCAAACTCCGCTAGAAGTTCTGCTGGAGGAAGAAGAACGCCCCTAGGAAGGACACACCCTGAGCGCCCCTTCGCCACGGGAGCCCAAGGCGGGTGCAGGGCATCTCCCATCACATTTTCAGGCCAAAAGTTCCCATTTGAGGCCTGCCCTCTCCTCTGCGCAGTCTTACAGACTGGCAAAGCACGAGCAATCTCCCCCTTTCCCTGAGAGCCTGACCCCACTCACCCCACCCGAGTGGAGCCTATGGTACCAGCCTCCCTGGAAACCAGTTCTCCCTCGCCGCCTCGCAGTCGCCGGGCCGGGAGAGGACCCTGCCCTCCAGGAGAGTGGAGCTCCAGTAGAGCTCTCGGGAACGCTCCGTCACTTCCCCCCCAGCCCCTAGGTCTCTGCGTGGCGCAGGCGCCCAGCCCAGGCGTCCCATTCCCTAACCTGTGCCCACCTTTTTCCCTTCCCCGGGGAAAATCAGCAGAGTGCAGTGCTCTCAGATACTGAACGGTCATCTCGAGGATCTCCGCCTTCTCCAGCTTCCCAGAACTCTGCAAAAGGAGGAAGGGCCCCTCTCAGCGGCCCAGTGCCTGCTTGGTGGGCACTGTAGATCTGGAGAGGACCAGCGAGTGGGCGCGGCTGCGGATCTGCGCCAGAGCCGCCTGAGGCTCGCCTCGCGCTCAGGCCCCCCGGGGAGGGGCCCGCAAGTGAGGGGGTCTGGGACAGCAGGCTCCCGCGTCTCCGCTGGCCGCAGAGGCCTCCCCAGCGCCTGCAGCACCGGGCTCCGGGCTGCCAACGTTACCTGCTTCGCCAGGGCCATGGGCACCGTCTTGCCCAGCTCGTTCAAGCAGCGGTTGATCCTGTCCCTCCTCCGCTTTTCTATCACTTTATGCGACACGGGGGTTCTCTGAGAACAGAGGGTTGTACATTTAGGATGGCTTTGCCCTGGAAGTAGTCAAAGGCACGACTCTGGCAGCTGCGTGCTAATCACCTCTCCAGCCGCGCACACTGCTCACGTTCGCCATAGGAAGGGACTCTCTGCCTGCCATACTCGGGTCAGTTGACCTCTGCCCTCTCATGCCCGCGCTGGCGCGTCCCCCTTCCAGCAACCCTACCCAGAGCTCTGTGAAGATGGCCACCAGCCTCCGGGCATGACTTCTCCCTGGTTGATCACTCTCCTCCCTCGATCCCACCCATTTCCCAAACCACTCGAGAGTCCTCCAGACGCAAAGTCTCGTGTGGCCACGTCCCTGCTATCGGTCCAGCCAAGTAGAGGGTCGGTGAGTCAGACGCCTCCACCACCAGGGCGCAAGTGCCACTTGGGCTCAGCCGACTCACTTTGCGTTCCTTGAGCTTGTCTGACATCCTGGTCAGTGCGCGCCCTCGGGAGAGGCGGTGGCTCGGGGCACCCGTCCACTCTTCCGCCTCGTGTGCCTCTTTGAGTGTCCCAGGTAGACTGCAGCCTCCCAACTCCGAGGGCTGCCTTATAAAGCGGTCATCTAGGGCTCCAAGTGCATTCACGAGTTGAATTATTCCATAGGATTAGGGGAGCTGCGTTTGGAGGATGTATGCATTCAAGATCAGTTTTAAAGAAGTTAAGAAAAAAAAATTTAGCAGCGGAGGGGGACGAGCTGGGGGCAGATCAGCTTTGTTAATCCACGTGGCCCTTCAAAGGACACGTGATCGGCCCGGGAGTAACATTTGCATGGCAACAGCCCGGGCGGGAAAAGGAGGCTGTAAACTGGGGCCGGCGGGCGAGCGAGCGCTTGCAACAGTCGCGGGCGCGGAGCGCAGGGGCGCAGCGGCCCCGGGCACCGGGGGGCGAGGACCCTCACAAAACAGTGTCGCCTCTTTTAGTCCCACCGCTGAGTCTCACACGATCGCCTGTTTACAAATCCCAGCAAGCCCGCCGTCCCAGCGCCAAGTGCGTTTTAAAGCCTGTCCAGAGTCATTAAAGTAATTAAGTAAGCCTTTAATAGGCTGTTCCGCCGGGTTCAAGGGAGAGCTCTTGGAGACGGAGGCGCCCCGTTTGTTCCCAGGCTTTTCTCACACGACTTGGTGACACGTCCTTCTCCCCCCTTTTTGTTTACACCGCTTTATTTGTCCGGACATCCCGGCAGGTGTGGGGCTGCGGCTGGCACACGAGGCTCCCGCCTCGCCTCGCCCCTCCCGCCGCTGTTTGGCACGCGACGCTCCCCCCTACTCCCTGACCACGTCGCTGGCTTTCTTTTCTCCCCCCTCCGGCTCCCTCTTCGCGGGGGGAAGAGGCTCAATTTGTAGCCTATTATCCTATACGAAAATGTCCATTGAAAAGTATGAATAGTTTCATTGGGCTAAATTTTAATAATGCCAGAGGGTGGGGGAGGAGAGACTGGCGGGCATGTGTGTGTGTGTTTGTGTGTGAAGGGGGGGTGGGAGGATTGGGGGGCAACACGGAGAAGAGTGGGCCGAGAAGAAAAGGGGGAATGCAGCTGGCCCAGACGAGCATTATGCGACGTCACCTGCGAGAGGGGGCGCCTACAGACCCCTATTCATTTGCCTAATTTTGGTCAATTTAACAAACTTCAGGAGAAATTATTGTGGCTTTGTCAGGGAGGGTGAAGCCTTCTGATCGAATTAACAGCATGTTTTGATCCGGTAAATGTCATTAGAAAGGGAGAAACAATCGCGCTTAGAGGGCTCTGAGTAATGCGCCCAAGTGGAGACGCCAAAGCGCACGGCTCACAAAGGGAGCAAGTAACTGCCACAGGGAACTTTTGTACCCGCCCATCGCCCAAGTTTTGACACAAAAAGGCATTATTTCATACTTGAATACGTTTAATCCAACGATTGTCTATTTTCTGCAAACATATTTTCACAGCATTGTTAACTTTTTATGTCTCCCTTTCGCGGGCGTCTTTTCTTAACGTTTGGGGGCGGGAGAGCGCAGACACTTTGGGCATCAATATTTGTCACTGAAAAGGGCCCCGTGAAGTTTGGGAAGTTGATCTCTTTTTTATGGTTTTAGAAAGCGAAAATATCGGGGGGAGGAGGAGGGAGGGAAGGCACAAACAGAAAGGAGGGAGGAAATTTGCTGGACGGGCCCAAGGGGAAAGAGGGGGGCGGCGGCGGCTGGGAACTCTCTGGGCCGCCTGCGCCTCTGCGGGCAGTCTGGCCCTGCAGTCGGAGGCCTCCTTCCCCGGGACGGGCCTAAGATCCCACACTCTGGGGGCTCCGAGCTTGTGGGGTGTGGGTGGGCGTGAGCTTTCTTGCAGATGGAAACGATAAAAATTATTTTTGTTTTATGACCCTTTCTAGAACCATCCAACTCTCACCCCTCTAATCTTTTCCATTTGGACACAGCTGAGAATGCTTCTTAGATTTTTCTTCTTTTCTGCCTGCCCCCGACCCTGTCTAAATGCTCTCTGCTCTGCAGGGCAAAGGCAGGGACCAGCGCCCCCCTTGGGGTCATTAGACCTTGGCAGGGGTGGGTAGGCGGCTCTACTCTCGCTGGTGGGACCTGGGAGCCTCAGGGCGCAGAGCCAGGCCTGGGGTGCCAGGCCTCGGGGAAGCCATCTGCCCACCTGCGGCGGCCTGGGAGGTGTGAGGGCTCGGTCTGCACCACGCACCCCAAGGGTGTCCCTCTCCGTCCTGCCTCCAGTCTCCTCACGACGTTTCTTTTCTGCTTCACGCCAGATTGGACACGATCCGCACCCTCCCAGGTTGCTCTGCCAGCGCTACTGCACTCTCCGGGGTTGTCGATTTCAGGATATTCACTCTCACACAAAGGGATTAAACACGAACCCTTATCATCCAAATTAACTAACGTGAATGGGTAAAAGGGAGCGCGCACACTTCGCACTCCCACCCCCATTTTTAAGCCAGTGGCCTGGGCGTTGATCCTCTTACTGCCGGTGTTAACCGCCAGCTGCAGGCACCTTCCACCGGCCAAATTTCATTCCATGCACACTGCTTAATTTTCCGGGTTTGGTCGCGGCGCTGGGCTCAAGGCTTGCCCAGGGGTAAAAGAGCCCGCGTGCAGGTGAGGGGGGCAAGGGAAGGCAGGTGAGTGGAGAAGTGGGCGCAGGTGCGCAGCGTCGCCAGCACTACCGCTTCAGGCTGGGGAAGGAAGTGTTTCCTTCTTCCCTTCCGGGCCCACAACCTGGGTCACTCACATTGCCCCAGAGTGGGCGCCTCAGAGCCGTCTTCCCTTTGCTGCTTCTGCTCAGGGCGATGATCAGGAGTTCCCTGACCCTGACGTAGTTCCACGCAAAAAGAGAGCAGAGTAGGGAAGAGCCGAGGCTGCGGTAACCAGCCAGCCTGCCTGTTGAGATCACAGCCCCACCGCCCAACTGGGTAAGACTTGAGGCATCGTCTTGAAATCTACTGTGCCTTAGTTTCCTCATCTGGGAAATGGAAATAATCTGTCTGCTATGTTACCAGGTGGTCACTCCAGCGAACTGTAAGTAAATATAGACAAGGCACCTAGAAGAAGACTGGACCGTGCTGTTAGTGGTTTTATTTTGTCTGCAAATCTCTCCTATGGTGGCTTTTCTGTGTTTTCGCTCTGTCGCCTAGGCTGGAGTGCAGTGGCATGATCTTGACCCACTGCAACCTCTGCCTCCCAGGTTCAAGCAATTCTCCTGCCTCAGCCTCAGGAGTAGCTGGGACTGCAGGCTTGCACCACCATGCCCGGCTAGTTTTTTTTTTTTTTTTTTTGTATTTTTAGTAGAGACAAGGTTTCACCATGCTGGCCAGGTTGGTCTCGAACTCCTGACCTCGTGATCTGTCCGCCTCAGCCTCTCAAAGTGCTGCGATTACAGGCGTGAGCCACCATACCTGACCTTGTTATATGACTTTCCCACTCATTTCATTTTTTTCCCTCATGCCTGAGAAAGGTCTAGCCTCCCTGAAAAAGCCACAGTAATTCTTCTTGAAGTTTGTTAAATTGACCAAAATCAGGCAAATGAATGGGGGTCTTTGGGCATCCCGGTGACATCACGTAGTGCCACTGGCCAGCTGTGTACTCCAGTGCATATGAGGCTGAGAAGGGCTCTGAGCACAGACCCCCTCTACATCATAGCAGTTCTCAAGGGACTCGAATATTAGCATCAAAATCAAAAGAAATCTAGGAAGCAAGACTGCTTGGAAGTTAGTGCTTACTAAATATGACTCTGCATTTAGCCTCCTGGCATCTAAGGACCTCTACTGGAGAATATAGTGATCACGAGCTGACTATGTTTATTATCGTTATTTTTAATACTGTTTCTTTAGCTCCATAGGTTTGACATGTAGATTGCAAACACTGAAATACGAGTTCTCTTGTTTCCTTCCAATTTTTAGAAACTGAGGATTTGTGGGCTTGGGGGTGGGAGATGGATGGAAAGAAAAGAACACAGTAACTTTAGCCAAATTGCTCTAAGACAAAGAGTTCTGGGTGATTTCAAATCCCTCCCTCCACCCTGCCTCCGATACTCAAGTAGACTTTCTAGACAACTGAACAGAACTGGAGATTTCACCAAATGTGAGGAGCCCTGGACGAGAGTGGGAAACAGCAGCACGGCTGGCCCTGCTGACTTCTGAGGTGCCGGGAAGACGAGGCCTGGAAGGAGCCCAACTCCTGGGCTGCTGTGAAGTGAGCAGGATAACAGGCTGCTCTCTCTGGAAGGGCCCACCAGAGCAGTGGCTCCAGCACCCCACTGCACACTCGAGGGCCCTGAGGAGCCACGAGGAGACTGGGATGCCCGATGGCAGGTGTGAGCAGCTGCCCGAAGTCTCCCATTTAGCATTTGTGGATTTGCTGAGTGAACTCCAGGGCTGACAGCCTTGGCTTCCTCCTGTCACTGCAAAGGAGGAGCTGGTCAGACTCCTGTGATTAGGGCTGGCAGCCATTCCGTGGGATACCTACTGCCCGTGGCGTGTGTGATCATTGTCACAGGCATCATCGGCTGTGTCTTATGCCCCCTGTACCTGTGAGGTACAGTGGTAATGGCACATGGTGAGCATCCACGGTTCGCTCAAGCTGGCAATTCCAGGTAGAAGGGACTCAGTCCTGCCTGCTACAAACGTGTGCTTGAAGAAAGAAGGAAACATTCCTACTGATGGCCCCGGCGAGCTCTCCACACCACAGTCACTCCCAGTGTCCACTGCAGCAGCGTGGGTGGCATCGGTTATCCTGTTGGGCTGGCAGCTTCTCTGGACTTTCCCTGCTCAGTACCTCTAATTCCTCTGCCTTCCCTGGTCACCAGGAGTACTCTCAAACCAACAGTGACGCCACCAGGAAGAATCTGCAGGGAGATGCTTGTTGGTGCAGTCAGGTGGCAGAGAGAGGGGTCCTGGGGAACACTGGAATCTCTCTAAACACAAGGACTCACGCTCAGGGTGTCTGCTGCCCTCTGAACAACCCTAGAGACATGAGAAACCTGTATGCACAGCAAGGTGACTTCCCAGGGCTTTGATTTTTATCCTCTTCGTTCTCGTCTCTGAAGCGGCATAGTTCTTTGCCTTCTAGC